GTCAGTAAAACAATGGCACTTGGTAACAGGATACTGAAAACGGTGAATTTATTTGCCCAGTATTTTCAGAGAAAGAACATTTTTAGAGAACACTTAGATCCTCAGAATCCTCTGCTTACACTGTAGGAGGCTGGAAACAAAAGACTGAGGCCTGGCCTCAGAAAGCCAGTATAAAATTAGGCCCATGAACAGAGAGGCCTAATTTTCTTTGTGACTTCAAGCTTCAAAAAGAAGCATCTGAAATTGAAGAATTAGGTCAGCAGAGGAAGGAAGTGACTGCATAACAACTGACATAACATCCTGCCTTTAAAACTGATCCAACCTCCCATTTTTGTAATGCTTTGGATGAACGCATGCTTGACCTAATTCTTGTATGTTTCCAGGTGAGTTACACCTCTTCCTTTTACAGACTTTTCAGGATAATTTTTAGGCAATAAGCTTTTGCTGCTACCTTCAAGCCTCTGGGTACAACAACCTGATCCAACCATTTCTCAGAAAAACCCCTTCAGCCTCTTAGCCGCCACACCTTCCTGACCAGCTCAGCAAGTCATCATCTGAAAAAAACTTCTGAGACCCTGCCACAGAATGAATTAACATGATAAACAGGCACGGGCCAGGGTATGAGAAATCTGTTTTAATTCCATCTGGTCTGTGTGCCTGGAAAAAAGGTTGCAAAGACAAGATGATTATTTGAAAATTATGAGAGAGTTCTCACTCAAGCCAGCTTGCAATCTCTTGGGCTACAAGAGACAGGCAGCCTTTGCACCAATTTTTCCTGAGCAATCTGACAGGCAAACAGGAACACTTTAATAAGTGGCTGCTCTCCTGTCATGCTACCCCACCCAAGTGGCAGTTCTGGCTCCACAGGAACACGTCTCTGTTGTTCAGACAGAACTGACTCACACAGGGACACCTTCACCAGAACCTGTGTTCAGTGCACTCCTGCCCGCTCACACCAGGCTCCTGCAAAGAAGGGTCTCTTAGTGACTTACTGTGATACACAGAGAGATACCTGCCAGCTTGGGTGAACACAATCAGCAGCCTTTTGTACTTAATTATTTAACACCTTCAGCACTTTTTTGTTCTCTTTGGAAGCCCTTTGTTCAGTCATAGTTTCATTTTACATTTATCTAGCTCTTAAGAGCTTTCCTTGATTTAAAAAATATCAAGCAGATAAACATAGGTTACTCTTCCCAGCAGTAAAAAAAAAGATTTAGCAAGTGATGTGCAATTCTAATTCACCTAAATGTAATAGCACAGACTGCAAAACATGCACTTTGGAGCAATGAAATAAATTCATGCTTACTCAAAGATAGCTGAAGAATATATTTGTCAGCATTTACTACTTCCATTACCAATTCCTATTTTTCTTGTTCAGTACCTGTCCTTTGACAAATTGAACATTTTCTGTGAAAAACAAATTATCATCTGTGCAGCAATTTCACTACCCACTGATAGGAGCAGACATACCTGAACTCCTCCAAATCCATTAGGAGCTAAGTAGCGTTCACACTCCTCAGCAATGTCCTGCCAGCGCCATTCAAAGAGATGCACAATAGAGGTTCTCTTTGGGACAGTGTTGGGGTTGTACTGCCCCCAACAAAGCCCTACAACTAACAGCAGAAAATAGATCCCCATCCAGTGCTCTGTGATCAGCTGGGCTCTTCTTACTAACTGCCAATGTTCCTGTAAGAGGGTAAGTACACATTAGAAAACACAAGTTTAAAGGTAAAGACCCATCTCTGGCACCATATTTATTTACCTGTTATTCTGTATGAGAACTGGATCTTATCTAAACTATATCAAATTCCCATACTAATAGTAACTTTGTTTTCATGCACCTAACATTCAGATGTTGCCTAATGCAGGCTGCCTCCAGAATGCAAAAGTTGTGGTTTTATTAGTATAAAGCCAAAAACTACCCCAAAGGGTAAAGGAATACTTATATAGACTGAAATTGACATTTTATTTATAATTTTAATGTATGTTATTTTACATTCCTATTTATCATTAAGAGACATCTTTTTTTTTTTTTTCCAAATGGTGTTGCTACAACTTGAACATATTTGGATAAGACCTTGCAGAGGCAGCATATTTCTTACCATGATTTGTTATGAAACCCCAGATATTTTGGAGGTTTAACATATGTGAGTCTGTCATTCATGATATGCATGACATCTCTCATTCAAACAACAGCCTGAAATCTGGAAGATCTCTCAGATACAGAAATCATTAATTATAGTGAAACCCAGAAATGCTAAATGCCTTATCTTTGCACACCTGCAGGATTTGTGTGGAGATATTCTCCTTTTAAGAACGTGGGCAATGACATGCAGATTTTAGAAGTGCTGCGAAGCTCCATAACCAAGAATTCTCCTTCTGAGTGCTCAAGTACAGAGTTCTGCAGGAGCTTTCCAGAGGCTTGAAGCTACATTTCCTTCTGATGAGCTACGCTAGGAACTGCATTTCCCAACTCATATCCTATTTGTATTTACTTAGGGATAAACAAAGATAATGATCCTTATATCAAAATTGCCTCTCCTTTTTCTCACCTAGAGAGATACAACATGCAACAAACCAGAAACTAAACAACTATCAAGGTTTACATTACTCTACTGAGAGCCTTATACTGCACTCTTCCGGTTCAGAAGTTGATTTAGAGAGTCCGAGATACAAAGAAGTCCTACAAGAACTGCAAACAAATGGCTGAACTAATACTTCCCTTAAAACAAAATACAGAATCTTGTTACTTTCCTGTAAGTATCTATTATTTTAAAAAGTTATCTTACAGTGACAGAGCAAAGAGAGATTCCTGTCACAAGGGAAACCAAACACCTCAGTGAAGGTTTAAACGTGAACACAGGCGCCCTCAGGTTTGCTACACAAAGGAAACCCGTGTTTTTCCTGATTTAATACACACTTGGGAATGCACTGCTGAAAACTCTAACTTGCTGTGATACACTTCGCCAGACATAGATACAAAATTTTACATGATTTCTACAAAACTGCCCTCATTTCTGCTTCAAGGAAAGGATGATCTGTATCTCTCAGGTAGTGGAGCCCTCTTTGGAGCAAATTTAGGCACAAAATATAGTTTATAAAATGTAGAACCAGCCTTCCAGAGCCTACTACTATCAGCTGTCACTGCTCTTCAGAAGCAGGTAGTGTTGTTTAGAATTAAGCATTTGGTATATTTAGCTGGCTTTTCTGCTTGTGAACAAAATAGCTTTAATACAATTATTTACTAGTAGATCTTAAGTAAAGTATACAGATTAAGTTTCAACCACAAGCAGTTGTTCTGCGTGCTTCCATTTTCATGAAGGAATGCTTTCTGGCCCTGATAGGAAGAACATACATTAAGAGAAAATGAGCTAAGAAAATTCCATCTTCTCTGATGAGGAAAGCCATTTATTAGATTGGCAAGTTTTACTTACAGCAGTAAATATGCACAGTAGTAAATGACACAAAATAGTAAGAATAATGTATCTTGACCCAACCAGCTCCAAAGTCTAGTGCTTAAAGATTCAATGTAGATTTTCCTTTCTCTGAAACAGGTTTATGGCTGCTCTGCCTTCAGTACAAGCAACAATAAGAGAATGTAGATGTTGAAATCCTCACGGCACTCTGATGGCTCTAGCTTCAAAATAATTTCGAAACTCGGAAAAACTAAGAAGCCATGTGGAAGAGCGCAACACTGACTGCACTACAGAGAAGCTGGAGCGTCTCTGCGCAGCCCCACCGCTGTCCCGGCCAGCCCGGGACTCGGGTCACCCTGTCTGTGCTGGGCACGGCCTGAGCGGTGCCGCCATCCAACACACCTGGGCCGCGTCCGGACCTGCGGCACGCCGAGCTGCGGCGGCGGCAGCTGCCAAAGGCTGTCACAGGGCAGCACAGCAGTGGCCCTGTCCCTTCCGGCGGCTCCCCACAGAACCCCCGAGCAGCCCCGAGTTTCCGGCAGGCGAAGCAAACTCGCAGGGGCCGCCCCTCCGAAGCTCCTGGCCGGGCTGCCCATGCGGCGCAGATCCCGCGGATCCCGGTCCTTGCCCGCCCCTCGGAGGCTCCCGGCCGGGCCGCCCGTGCGGCGCAGATCCCGCGGAACCCGGTCCGTGCCCGCTGCGGCCGCCCCGCCCCTTCCGCCGGGCCGCGCCACCGCGCGGGCACGGCGAGCCTGTCCCGCCCGTCCCAGGCACAACGCGGACCGGGCATGGCTCTCAGAACCCTCCGCACTATATTAATAGAGTATTATTGTCCTTGAGCACAGCACCACCTTTTGCTGTTGGCCTACTTCGGCGCCACTTGTGGGCCTTTGGTCCTGTAGCTCAACATGGATCACAGGACATACTACTGTAGAACCACAGAAGCATTTAAGTTGAAAAAGCCCTCCAGGATTAAACGAACAACACAGTGCCCATGGGAAGCGTAAAATAAGAATAATTCCAGTAAAAGCACTTCAAAGGAATCTGTTAAGCCAGCTCCTATTGGAAAAAATAGCAAAGATAGATTTACTTCGGTCCCGCCACCAATACTAGTGATTTAGACTGTTGGCAGCAGGAGTAATGACAAATCTTCTGCACCAGCTCCCACACCATCAGCTATGATTTAGTCATTTATGGACTAACTTTTCCTTTAAGTGCACTGGACTAGAATATCTTTCAAATTAAATGTCATTGCACTATTTCCCACATGGTTTTTGACACTTCAACTAACCAGCCCAGTATGTAGCAAATCCTATGTGACTATTGTTATCACCCTCAACAGGGTAAGGACCACATCTATATCAGCTTTAACTGCTACTCTGGTTTTAATGACTTCAGCCTCACCAGTGACAGTTCTCAAGTTGCAGATGAACAATCAAGGTAATTACTGAGGAAGAGCAGTGCCCAGTTTCACAATACAAATTCAAGCCCATGCATTCATCCTGCTTGGTCTCCCAAGACAAGAAGACCTGTCCTGCCCAAAACCCCAAGAACAAAAGTCAAAACAAAGAGAAGGCAGCAAAATGAAGAGAAGGAAAATAATTTATTAGATTTCACAAGCAATCTAACATACATTTATGATGTAGTGAGTCTTGTGATATTTAAAGATATGTGGAATCCTTAAGACAGGAAAATTTATTCTCTGCCTTAAATACTTTAGAAATGCAACTACGCACAGTTCAAGAGTCCTCATGATCACACTGCTTCTTCCCCAGCTCAGAAACACTTGAAAGAGAAGGAACACAAAAGGGACCTGGAACATCACAAAGGCATGTTAAAAGTAAGAACTACCAAAAAACAGCAGTGTTATACTGGCTTTTGACAACTAAATTGAAAGATGCTTAGTGTTTTAAAAGTGCTTAATGTCTGTGAAAAATACATCTTAATAAATGCAGACTGTATTAATTTTATATTATAGAATGTTAAACAGTGATGTAGTATGAAACCCATAGGAAACATGTAGGTCACCAGCAACAACACTACCTCAGTGCAGACAGCAATGTAAAAAAACCCCAAACAACCAACAAAAAGGTAGCAGTGATTAATAGTTGATTATTAGTCCAGCTCCAAATACTTAAATGCCAGATATTGTTAATTTTCTTCTTTATTCTAAAAAGAGAAAGTAAGGAATGTATTAACTAAATCAACTCCAGATTGCTTCTCATGTACCAGGACAACAGTAATCATCAAATGACCTAAAATACTGGTCAACCCCTTAATATTAAAACTGCTCTACAATCTATTTTAGCCAACATATTATTATATTAATAGGTTTTTAAAGTAAAACAAGGTGGCTTGGTCAGTGTGAGCTCAGCACAGCTTCACACAGATCAGCTGGTATGAGCTAGAACTGCTACACTAAGGAACAGGACCACAAATTACTTACTAGGGTACCTGAAGAAGAAGGTGAAGGCCACCTTTTAAGACTAAGAACCTTCATTGTGTCTATTCACACAACCACAGACAACTCTTTGGTTTCTTTCCCCCCCACTGAAAAAATTTGCTTTTTAAAATTATTAGATTAGCTCAAGCTTAAAATGTGTTAACTCCTCCCCACACCTACTCTGTTATGGAAACCTAAGATGCAGTTGAGTGCTACAGGAAACATTGCACAAAAAAGGATACAACAAGAAAGGATACACTCTGCATGACAGTATTATTGCAGTATTTACGCAGGAATGTTTCTAAAGAAGAACAGCAGAATGTGGTTTAATTTTACTTGATTCTCAGTATTGCACACACATAACTTTATGCTACCTACCAAAAAAAAGCAAATATGCCTCTTTGATAAAAAACAATTCTAACCCCTTGTGAGACTTAATGAGGACTGATGAATCCATCAACACTAAACTTCATATTCAAAAGAAAACACTTTTTTTTGATAACTTGAACTATTAGGACCAGCAGATTCTTCCATCTCCTTCAAGTCTTTGCCATTTTACAGACTCACTTTATTTCCATCAGATCCAAAACCCAATCATGTTTCCCTTTAATGCCAGCTTTCAAACCACTTTTTCCTTATGAAGAAGCTGGAGACATCTCAACATCAGTTTCTTCCACATAACTTTTCTCCCAAACAGTTGTATTTTAGCTACAGGAAAAAGTCACTTTAGGTGAACTTTTTGCCAGTCCGTCAATAAAGAGACATTTCAGCCAGCAAGTTCTGCAATATTTTATAAACCAGATGTATTGTTTTGTCAAAAAAAAGGATAAAGCCTTTGTAGAAAAAAAAAACAACTAAAAAAACCCAAAATAAAACAAAAAAAAACCCAACAAAACCTACCCAACAACAGAAAAACAACCCTAGACTCAAGCAGACTCAAGTTTTTATCATGGGATTTTACTTCATAAATCAGCATCCATCCGAATATTCCAGCAGGAACAGAAAAACGATCATGCAGAAATAGGGGTCAGCTTAATCATTACTTGGGAAATGCAACAAGTCTTTTTAATTAAACCTCATGGATCCTTAGAAACCTGTGTAACTCCTTGGCACAATGATATGATTAAAACGTATGAACAGTCAGGGTAAGAGAAGTTCTGCCCATGGACACACCAGGGACACTTGTAAGATGGTAACTCATGGAAGATTTTCAGATGCACAATTAAATCTTGCCTCAGAATGGTTTGCTCTCTCTAGAAAAAGCTTCTGAGTTGACCATCAGAATAACAACAAATAAGCACTTTGTTATTTTCTTTATGCAATTCAAGTATTTAGCCTGTTTAATGAATTCAGAATTAATGTACAAAATGAGTTGGAAAAAAAGGGAATTCCTAAAAGAATAAAAGTGCTGACTTCATCTATCCGGTTTTCTCCAATAGCTAAAATGCTTCAATTTTTTTTTTTAATATAAGAAACCTTAGTAATCTTATTAGATAAATAGAAAGTTTTTTCTAACAAGAAAGGACTGACAAACAAGACTGAAATAGTCTCATAAATACATGATCCTAATAGAACACTTTAGCCAAGGCTGTTTTCAATTACCACTACAGAGTGATCTTTAATCTGACAAAATACAGACTTTGCAAACTACAAACAATAACACAAAATAGGAAGTAAGACCAGAGAGAGAAAAACAAGCCTAAATCTGAGTTTAAAAATCCTTAGACAATGGATGGAATGAAGAACCTACAATTAGAGTAGCTGTTAAAAACAGAAATACTACCATCACAATAACCACACTGTGGGCTTTACAGCCAATTTGTAAAAATCAAAGCAAATGTTCACATCCTGAGTAACAAGGATCAAGCTCCAGATTAAAAACACACCATCCGTTGTTAAGGAATGTTTCCTAAACACTCAGGGTAAGATTTCAATTAATTTTGTTTTAAGCAGAGGCATAACCAAAGTGATCTCAACTGTAACCAGAAATTAAGGTCAGTGCCCTTTAAATTGGAGCTAAGTCATGTATCAGAGGGTGCAGACTGAGAAATAAATGCTTTTTATTCTTGCACCAGTTACTTCACATGGTCATTTTTGAGTTCACTATGCAGATGTTTGCAGGCCATGAAACCACTCAGGTAAATTAGAGCTGATTTGGCTTGACTTACTCTCACATAAATGAAATACCCAGAGTAGGGAGCAGTGAAGTAAAGCTACATTATAAGAAATAAAAAGTTAAATAGCAACTTCCTGCTAGAAGGTACTTTCTCATTACATTTAAAAAATGCCAAAAATCAGGACCTACATATTCCACAACAAAGGAAGCCTTTATCAATGCAATTCACTAATTCAGACAAGTTTAAAGGTTACTGTAACAGCACTAAAAACTCATTTTCTGAAGTTAAAAAAGATTCTTTACAGCCAGCAGAAGTTTGTTAGAACCAGCTCTTCAGAATCCCATTACAGCAGCAGGGATAGAAAGGAAGGAGCTAAGAGGCAACACTTTTCAACAGTAAAACCCTGGGAGATTACTAAAAGATAAGTGGTCCAATTCCACAAAATTATTCTCGTTATCTTTGCAAATTAAGGAACTGACAAGTGTCCTACAATATCAGGATTAGAAAAATATTGCCCCCTGAGATTTCTAACACAGGAAAAAGGAAAGTTATAAACTTACACCAACTATATACCTTGCACCCTGTTTTTCCAATATAAGCACACATTTAAGAAAATAAATTGGTATGGAACATTTCCTCTCCATCATTAATTTTCCTAAATAAGCTGTTAAAGAGAGAGTAAATAAAACCAAACAAACACTAACAAAAACCCCAGCCCAATCCTTTGTTTTCACTTTCAGGCAGAGTCCATACCTTGTGCAGGGTTTTACTTTTTTCTTTTCCCTTCATTGGCATCCTGTTTTGGTCTAGCTGAACGAGCAAATTGCTGAGATTCTATTAAGGACTACAAGTGTCCGGTAAGTAGAAGTCAATTAAGAAAGACCAAAAAGATTACTCCTGCAAATTAGTCTAGAAAGTGACCTTTATCTGTGAATCAATACAGTATGAAGTATTATAACAGTGTCTATTAGTCTAAGATTAGGACCTCACTGATACACAGTACAGGAGTTATTAGAGAGACTATAAGGAGGACTAACTGGGAATGGGTTAGATGTAAACAAGGATAAATGTTTGATATTTACAAACTTCCAACCCAGCATGTTAATTCTTAACTTTGATGTATCAGGAAAAACAGTAAAAGCAGCAGATGCTGGGGTAAATGTGAGTATAAAGAAACTGAAATAAACTATGAAATGTTTGAGTGAAAAATAAGAAAGGACATTCACACAAAAAAACAGTAATATGCAATCAAAAGGAGACAGTTCCAGCTGAAAAACCCATCTAGAACCACTTACTCTTACAGGAGCATTTCTTATGATCATGATTCTGTAAACATACACCTAACCAAGTCAAAAACCTTGTATTTAATTTAAATACAGTGGCCATGCAAGCCAAATTATCTTCTGTATTGTCTTTGCAGGATCAAAGATGTAAGACCAGTGAATTCTGTTCTTAAATCACTTTTACTGTCCTATTTCACAAGAGTTGCCCCCTGTTTTTTTCAGCCACCATAAATAGTGCACTGTGTTATGCTGACTGGTTTTCTTAAGGCATTTTTTATTTTGCAGAACACTGTGATGACAAACCTTGGCAGAGACTGGCACAGACGACAAAGAATATAACGTAAATGCTTGAAGAAAAGGATACAACCACCATGGGTTTTTCAAATAAGACATAGCCATTAACTTCTTTTAGTGCCTTAGCAGCTGCCTTCTCATTGGGCAGTCCAATGAAAGCCTGTCCCTTCATCCGGCCCTCTTTCATCACACGGATATCAAACCTAGGGGCACAGAGCAGAACTGGGAATTACTCATGTTTAACAAACCTTGCAGATTTCACAGTACAAATGCACAATTCTCATGCTCCAGGTGGGAGAAAGAACAGAAACAGAAGCAAAGCCTGCAAAGAAATGTGATGTCCTTGGAGACCATTTTGCTTGGGGAAACCATTTACTAAAAGGTAATATTAAACTGCAGGATGGCAAATTTATGCTCAGTACTATTAAACAGGACATATGCAAAGTGATCAGATACACACAATCACCTACACAGTTCATTTTGTGTCACACAGCCAAGAAAAGCAAATCTGGGAATAAAAACATAAAGGCAAAATAATAGGGTCTTCAGTCACTCATCATAAAATAATTTCATTTCTTAATCTTCATAAATGAAGATTTTTAGGTCTAACACATTTTTGTTAATGCAGAAACACAGAAAATGTAAATATGGCTATTTTTAAAATCCCAGTTTTCAGAAGTGACATAGGAGTTAATATAAAAGGCTTAATTCTAACTAAGTATGAAATGAACTCACATATTGCGTTCTACCTCTGACTGGAAGTCAACATATCTTCCAAAAATGAACTTAAGATCCTGAAATGAAAGTGTAGGTGTAAGATGAATGCTCAGAAAAAGCCCTTTTGATAGATATTTAATTTGCATGTTTACTTACCTTTTCTTGAACTTGTTTAGCTAAATTCTTCACATATATCCTGCAATTTGGATCACCTGGCTCATAGTTTTTGAAAACAGAATATTTTTCCATTTCTTGAAGACAAAAAAAAATGAACCATACTTCAGTTCATCTACTTTTGCACATTTGCTCAGTATAAAATAATTCACTATAAAAAAACAAACACTTAAATAAGCTATTTGTTGCAACAAATCAAACAGCTGTTACTAGATAATCTATTCTCATAGTTATACCTTCTCTAGAAAGTCTGTTTTTTTCTAGATCCTTTCTAGAAATAAATTCTGATGGTATTTCATCATCCTCCTCTTCAGTTTCCATTTTATCATTTGAGCTAGGAGCTGGGAAAATCCTTCCAAAGCCTGTGTTATTGATTTCTTCCGTGGTTGCATAAAGGTCTGAAATTTCAACAAATCACATAAGTGGTTTGTACCTGTATTCACACCAAGAGCAAGAAAACCACACTCCTTCCAGCAACATTAAAATAGAGCAGACTTTGCAAGGCAATTTGAACACACCCTTAAAAAAGAGTCTTAAACCCTGCTTGACAAAAGCACCTGCTCTGTACAGTCCTATAAAACCCCATGCAGTTGAAAATAAAGGCCATGGCACACATCAGTTAGCATAAACCTTGCCTTGCTGTTCAGTTCTGTGTCCATTTCACTATTTTCCCTTAAAGAAACTGGATATTACTGTAAAGTACCAAGAACTACAGATTGACCATAACTCTCTAAAAAGCCATCACACCTCATTGTTATCAGTGCCCACCCAGCATTTTTATGGCAGATAATCAGTGCATCAGAGAAAAAGGGTTGGCAGTCACTCAGATGCTGCTCTCTAAGAGCTGGAAAAGGAAAATCTGAAACTAGCCTGATATATTAATTTACACCATAAAATACTGAAAATTTGTAACATTTGCATCCTATCATTTAAAAGACACTGCAATTCACCATAAACCACAGAGCACATAGGAGAGTCCTTTAAAATCCTCTGGATCCTTTCCAAAGATTGTAACACGGGAAAAACAGCAAATACAAATATGATGCAACTTGGTGTTGAAAGCTCCAATACAGTAAGGGAAAAGAATTTCCTGGTGTAAATTTCAGCACCCTTTATATACTGAAGCCACATGACTTGAACATTAAACACATTTGAGGTACAAACTCTCTTACCTTTTTTTTCTTCTTTTTCTTGGTTTGTCTGAAGAACAGCTGGGATCTCAGTACTAATATGAAACTCTATTTTTTTGTGACCTACATGCTGCAGCTGCTCAAAGACATCTGAAGGTGACAGTGTAGGGTGCGAGTTACTGTTTAAAACAACATCAACACATTAATTAAAGACTCAGACACTGATGAATGCATGCTCAAACACAAGATTTCTTCCAGTTAGATTTCATGCTGCTGTTTGCTACAAAAACATGTTCTCCATTTCATACATTTCACCCAACAGTTTCAGGTGATTAAAACACTGCAGACACGGAAGGTATGTCTGGCAGTGGGAGCAAAGCCAACCATCATGTACCACGGTACAATACACACAGGCATTTATTAAAACCTTCATCAGTAACTTCAGCATGAAAAATAAGTGGCCTTGCTGCTGCCCTCAGCTAGTATATAAAATACATGACACTTAAAGAAAATGTAGCAAATCATTTGGAGGAAGCAGGCAGCCATTAGTAAAAATGCATTCACAATCATTCATCACAACACAGAAATACTGCACTGCTGTCTACTGTGGCACAGAACTGCAGTTCTAAGACCCAAACTCATTTTAAAGCTAGTTTCTATTCTTCCAGTGTCATACTTTTAATTCTTTGTTTTAAGAAGCAGCCCAAGCAATAAATCCAAGTTGCTTTCGTCACAGCGGTAATGTGAAACTAGTTATCCTTTTAGGATAAGGAATTTCTATTAGTTTGACAGGAAGAGAAACAGAGCTTGAATCAGGCACACTTTAAAATTGTTAAGCAGACTTTAGTTCAGACTAGAAGAAAATCTGATTTTTAGGACAATAAAACCAATAGGATAAGGGCAAAAATCACAAACCTGTGGGAAGTACACACAGGAACATTCAACATGTCCTTAATTCTTTGCTTTTTTCTAACACCACGCTTCTTTGTGTTTATTGGTCTTTTAGGCTGAAGGGTTGCTAATTCCATCAACTTTGTCATTCTATTCCAAACAAAAAGGAAACCAAAATCAAACAAAAATAAAACAAAGAGGTTTACAGTTTATTGAAAGTACAAATTTTAAAAACCCTTCCCCTTTCCTTAAAGCCCTTGATATAGAACTTTTCAGAATAAAATTATAAAACTAACTACCTTAAAACTGAAGCTGTAACAGCAAATCAGTATACACAGAGCACTTAAGGACTGACCAAAATCCTAACATGTCAGTGATGCCCTTTCTTCCCCAGCATGCTCCTTACTGGGACACTGAAGCTGTGATGGCCCAGGCTGAACCTGATTTTCTAACACTCAGCAGGGGTAGCTTTTTCCAAATACAGCATAGGGACTTTCTGATTTACTTCTCAGTTTAGACAGCAAAGGAAAAAGCTGCTTTTTAATTCAGAGTTAGTTTAAAGATTAAAAAAATACAGCTATGATGTAATTCAGTAGCAAAATTGCAAGAGAATCCTCAGCACAAATATTATCACTCCTAGCATACCCGCTCATGTACAAAGAATGTTCTGGAAGTTGGTGTGCACATAGAATTCAGGCTGAGGATTCAATTTAGAAAGATGTGGAACAATGAAGACTTCAGAAAATAATCTAATTTCTGCTTCCCTACATCTGCACTCTTCAAGCTGAGTTTTTGTTTAGTTAGGTTTTTTGGACATGGCAACAAATGAAACCAATAGGCCACTCTCCTTTTCTTACTGCATTTAAACCTGCACTGACCTTCTGCACTCTGGAGTTTCTCTGAGCATCTGGAAAGATTGCTACACACTCTCTACAAGATGCTACATCTATACACCACAAACATTACCACTTGCTGAACTCAAAGCTGGAACAGTAAAACCACCCCTTTCAGCAGCCCAAAACCTTGCACATGACTGTAAAATGCATACCTCTCCTTTTCCTCATCATTATCACTTTCATATTCTGATTCATCCCCACTAGACAGTCCTTCTTCCTCTTCAGGCAAAGGAGGCTCTTCAGGAGGCAGAGGTGGGATTGGGGGAGGTGGCACAGGCACTGGCAAATACTCTTCATACTAATTATGGGGAAGAAGTTGCAAAAAATTAAACTTCTTGAAGGACAAAACATAAACAGGTCTTGTTTTCTTAATAACAACAGTCAAAGCAATTAATGATAATTTAACAAGTATTCCCTCCAAGTATGCTTACAGGGACCTAGATAGCATTTTGGTAAACTACATTACTAATGAAAAACTTTCCACAAGCAAAAAAATCTGCTTTCTGAAGCATAACAGTGAATGGTTTAATTCTTTTAAGTTGAGATGAGGAAAAAAAATACAGCAACCATGGCCTTGGATTTTCATTTTGCACTCAGCTTCAAGGACTGTCCTGAGAAGAACACAGTCCAAGCATATGGGTGAAGGCTTAGGCTCCAAAGTCATCTCAGTTTCAACAGTGAAGCAACAGTTTGAAACACTCCAGTGCTGCTACCATAGATGAGTATTTCTTTGTTCTAAGTATAATCCAAAGAATTGCTTTGGAAGACCAACATGTACCCAGCCAAATGCAGCAGGATTTGCAATTCTCTAGAAATTTAGATCTCCTACTATGCTACTAACATTTTAAATTGTGAATCATTCCTACAGTACTGAAAACATATTTCAAATGTTACCATGGGAGGGCGAGCAGTGATTGGCCCAAAAGGTGGAGGAAGATTCATTTTATTCATCAGATGGAGTACCTGAAATGAGTCAAAATAAGTAGGTTTCCTTTGAATAAGTAAGTGATAACAGTTCCTTGCTAGGTAAAACAGCCAGTCACTCCCGGCAGGTGAAAATCAGCACAGTTTTAATGTTCATGAACAATGTAAAACTTGCACTTGAGATCCAACACTAATAGTCAATATAAGCAACACCCCAAGGCTAATAAAAAACACACAGCTTCCTCTCAGAATGAAATTCCAGGTACTCAAGTCACATGTAATTAGGAAGTGCATATCCAGTTAAGACTTCAGTCTCAATCTATCTCAGGTTAATAAAATCTCATTACCTCAGCACAGTAAAAAACTAAGATTGGTTAACACTATCACAGAAAATCCAAGTTAGTATTTATGATGACAAAAATAATTACTTCTGTGCATAATTAAAAGAGGAAAAATTAAATGCCTTTAATTTTATACTTTTTTCCCCCATTTTTTACTTACCTGGACATAAAATTTGGGCACGCTTGCCAAGGCATTTGCTATATTTGCTAGAATTGCACTTGAAGGTGGTGGATACAAATATTTGAGGCAAGAATTGATGGGAAAGGTGAGGCTGAGGAAAAAAAAGATTGAAAATAAAACACCTTAACAGTACTGCCACTTAACAGTGGTTACTAGAGGCTTAACTATTGATTACATCTGAAGTAACACTGAAATATTTTTATTTCCCCTAGAACAGTTTTGGGCCACTTAGAATGCCTTTAACATCATGGAGTAGTCCCCAGTGCATGACAGATTTACTGGGCTTGGAAATACTGAAAGTGTCAAGCCATGCAGAAGCCTAAAGCTAACAGAAACAATCAACATGTCCAACCCAAAAGCACAGAACAGCAGCCTGTACAAGTATCAGAAACTCAATGCTCAAAGGGCTGCATTAGCTTCAAAAAAATTACTACTTCCGGTATGCTAAAATGAAAACGGGAGGTGGAGAAGGAAGAAACATCAGGAAAAAGAAGTCAGTGATATTCTGCTGTTAACACTGGGGGAACCTCAGCCCTCCAACCCCCCAAGAAAGCAAGGTGCAGTGCTAGAAGGCTGTTCTGCAATCCACAAGCTCAAAGCACCAGTCACTATGCAGATGTGAGGACTCTAAACTTGAGGAACTGAAACTCCATCTTTATGACAACTCCTACATGCCTGAGGAACACCAGCATAAGAGTTATTGTTCTGAGCATCTTGTTCAACATTATGTAACACATTGCAAAATAATCTGCAACAGAATAAATTAATTAAGATAAATAGAACCCTGACACTAACCCATGGTTAGGTGCAATTCCATTCTCTATTTTAACACAGTTTGGTTCAATCTTCTCTTCTTCTTTCACTGGTTCTTCTAAACTGAAAATTAATTTAGTCTTAATTAAAACAGTGCAAAAATTAGGTATGCCTTATGTAATTTATAAAATATACATAATCTATTAATAAATATAAAAAATAAATTAGGTGTTTTTAACATCTTTTACCAATTGCATTACTACAGCTGTTACCAATCCTTCATAATCAATACATGAGGATAATTACAGTAGTGACAGTCTTCTAAAATAAATACTTATGCAGATTTAAGTAAGATTCCCTATATTCAAACACTCCTGACTTAAATCCACTCAAAGGAAAAGAAATGAAATTATTTATCATGCACTCTCTTCAGAGAACATAAATTCAAAGGTATTAAATTATTGATTTGTTCATATTCAGGAAGTGGGATAAATAACCTGAAAACTCTACTACAGTATTTTTAATTAAGCATTGTCACATAGCAATAATAATAAGCATTATCACTTATTTGCACATTTCACAGGTGCAAATGACACAGTCACTGTCCTATAGATGGGAACCAGTTAGGACTTCCAAGTGGTTACAGTTTATCCTTTGAGTTACAAGTATTACCTAAGTATCATGAATCCAGAATCCTTTCCCGGACCACAAAGATAACAAGGAAAGTACTCGGCACATACCTTTTGCACTTGTCTGAGGCAGAAGGCTGGCTAAGTACCTGGGCACTCTCTTGCTCCTTTGCAAATTCAACAACTAAGGTGTGACCCAAAAGTTTCAGCTGATGCAGTCTTGATAAAGCCTTCAAGTAATTACAGAGGAGAAGAGAAAGGGAACAGGACAAACATGAGAATTGTTTTAAAGCATAACTGTTTTTCCTTTGAGTAGTACACTGGCCATAGGATGCAGGCCCAAGTGCTTTAAGCTAAGCCTGTGCTACTGTGGACATGAGAGCTCTGCACTGTTTGTGTATTCCCAGCTCTGCTTTTAGCAGCATTTCCTGCTGGCAGGAAGGAAAGGGACCAGGCACAGCAAGAACCACTGCACAGCTTGGTCACCTGAACACAGCAGCAGCCTAACAATCAGACTTTTCACACAGCCTGCTAAACTGTTGGAATTTCAAAGAACCAGCCTTTTGCTTCTGAAGTACAAACATGCTAAACTCTGTCAGTAGCAGCTAGGGATTCTAAAATCAAGCTTTTAACAGTGGCTCTAGGAAGGTCCAGCATTGCTCAAGTCCAGAGCCCAGTAGGCTGCTAACAACTGGCACCCAATTCACCACTGTTCACCTCACACAGTCTTTCCCTTTTTTAGTCCTATAAAGTGTGGCCTAAAAGAAATAGAAGCAATGCAAAAAAAACCCCAAACCTAAGGTATAAGGGAGAAGTTCTAGCACTGGCTTTTTAACCAGACTAGTCTTTAAAAAGCATTATTAGCATAACCTTTTTGTCATACATATCTCCTATTCTTACAGAAGTTTTCTTATCAAAGTTGGGCATTCAAGGCAGACTTGGTTTGAGAGAATCCCTAGGGCTCATTTTTATGGCAAACACAATTACACAGGAGACAAGGAAACTCTGCTTGGTTTATAGTTTGTATATAAATGCACACACATCCTAAACAGTGCCCTCATCAGTCTCAGCTTCTCTAACTTTGCCAGGCTGGATCAGGTAACTTCCACAAACCCCTTTCAATCCACCTTTCCTAGGACTCTAGGAAACACAGAAGTAATCAAGAATTTTATCAAGTCCTGCAAGCAAATCTGTGCTGAAACAGAACTCTCATACTACATTCTGTTGCTTTGATTTTTCCTAGCCCTAAGTACCAAATGATGTGTAAACCACTTAGAGCACTGGCAATTCAGTGCTTTGCTAAAACATTCAATAACAAACTCAATACAAACCTTTGCAGCTGCATTTTCACTGGGGAAGGTGGCAAAAGCAGTATGTTTCTAGAAAACAAAAAAAAGTTATAATGTATTTGAATCAAAAACGTAAGAGATTCCATGTAAAACATTGAGCTACAAGCACTTTGTTAGTCCAAGCTTACATATTTGAAAGTTACCAGATGGGAGTTATCCAATTCTCATCAGGGCAAACATGAAGGGCTAGAAACCCTTTTTCTTATGAATTTTGGAAAAGTACCTCCTGCAGTCAAAATCAAGACAAGAGCTCAGCAGTTTGACAAATACAGGACAAGTGGGGATTTTTTAGTGAGCAAAACCCACTCTAGACTGCACAAAAGTACATCTAGAGAGGTTTAATTCTCTTCTAAACCAGAAAACTCATTTGAGCACCTCACAAAACATTTTCATCAAAGTAACTCTTACTAAAAGTAATGCTCTTCCTGCAACGAAAGTTGTAACTATAGTGCTCTGAACGTTTGAATGGTTTCTAACTTCCCCCCTCATTTTCTAAATTAAATCAAATCCTCACAGAATACACCTTTCCAAGTTAATTTTTTTTTAACAGACTTTATTACCCCATCTTGCCACTACATGACTCCGTATCCAAAATCATTGTAACAAAGTCAGTATATCTGATATCCTATAAAGCAGGACACTGATAAAATACACAGACATCCATCTGCAGTTCTGCAAAAAACAGGGCTCTCTATGAAGAGTACTTATCACAAATACATCAATGTTTTCGTTATCTGGGGGAAGAA